AAATAGCAAGTGTTGTTGAGGATGTGGAGAAATTAGAACTCTTACACACTGCTGGTAGGAATGTAAAATGGTGCCACTATTTGGGGAAATAGTTTGGGTATTATTATTATAAATTGCTTTTAGGTACCAGGTATTGAATCAAGGGGCACTTAATCACTGAGCCACATCCCCAGCCCTTTTTAATACTTTATTTAGAGACAGGGTCTCACTGAGTTGCTTAGTGCCTCGCTAAGTTGCTGCGGCTGGCTTTGAACTCATGATCTTCCTGCCTCATCCTCTCAAGCCACTGGAACTACAGGCTTGCCCTACCATACCTGGCTATTATTATAAATTAAACATACAATTATTTGACCTATAGCAATTCCACTCTTAGTACAAGTCCAAAAGAAATGAAAACATGTTGTTAAAACAAAATCAATGGCAAAAATCATAGAAGATTGTTCATTGTAGCTAAAAGCAAAAACAACCCAAATATCCATTATTAGATGAATCAACAAATGAAATGTAATATGCATATGATGGAATAATATTCAGCTATGGAAAGTAATGAGGTACTGATACATGCTTCAACATGGATGAACATTATACTAAATGTAAAAAGTCAGGCACAAAAGGCCACATATTGCAAGGTTTCATTTATATGACATGTCCAGAGTAGGAAAAATTACAGAGATAGAAAACATAATAGTGATTGCCATTTATGGGGGATAGGGCAGAGTACAAACACAGAATGATTGTTTAATGAGACTGTTTAATGTTTGGAGTGATAAAAATGTTCTGGAATTAGATAAAGATACTGTTTGTATATCATTGTGTATATGCTAAATGCCACTGAATTGTACACTTTAAAATGGTATAAATAGTGAACTTCATATTATGTGAATTTTCCCAGTACAAATAAGATGGTGGTTCATGCTCCTGGGGCTGTAACATATGCATTTTAATAAGGCTTTTGATGAGTTTTTCCTAACATGGAATGCACTTATGTTATAATGTTAAGTAAGCAAGGGACAAAATTTTCCATACAATATGATCTCAGCCATAAACACACAAACACAAACAAAGCCCCCCTCCCCCGACACACAGTCAAAGAAGTCAAAGGAAATACATCAACCTATTATTGCTGATTGTCTCTTGGTGTCAGAACTCTCTGGCTGACTTCATTCTCGTCCTTTTACTTTCTAATACTTTCCATTTTTCTTTAAAAAATGTACAGTAAAAAAAATAAAAATAAAAAATGTACAGTATTACTTTTATAATGCAACAAAACACCTCCTATTTTTTAAAAATAAACTAGAGAAAGCAATAAATGGGATTTAAAATAAAAGGAAAGAGCAGACAGAGGTGAAGAGATGCAGGAAAGTCAAATTCAAGAGAGAATACACTTGTGTGTCAGGGGGTGGGTGGGTAATCATGCAATTTGGACTTCAAAATTGCCAGGGAACAGATGGCAGCATCGAGCAGACATCTGCAATGGATAGCAAAATCGTATGCAAAGACACAAGTGGCCTTTCAAGCAGGCCCTTGAGAGACCCATGGTGAAGGCTGTTTGCCTGGCCAAACAAGGGCCAAACCCCTCTCCTCCTCATCACAGCCCCTCCTCCTCTGGGTCCTGCTAGAGGCCTGGAGGCTGCAGGAAGGCTCAGCACAGATGTGCTTGCATGTGTGAGGGAGAGAACAAGGTTGTGGGAGAAGAAAGAGGTTTCTGCTAATGACGCTGGTAAACACTGCAACTGACATTTACATGGTACTTCATAGTTTATAAACATTGTCACACAGATCACCTCAATGTTAGTTGTTATTGTATCATCTTTTATAATGGCCTTGTGAGGAAGGCAATTATTATTCCCATTGTACACAGACGTGACATGAGTTTATTTATTTAACATTTATATGGGGCTCACTATCTTCCAAACACTGTCCTGAGAGCTTTACATGCACTAATTGTCCATGTCCACATAGCTAGTGAGAGACACAACTGGGGCATGCATCCAGCTTTTAAGACTTGTGACACCACTCTTCTGCTGATGTCTAAGAATAATTTATCTCTGTCTGCAGAAGCTCAAGTAAGGCCAAACTAATCTTTTCTTCATTTCTCCCTTCCTCCCTCCCTCCCTCCCTCCCTCCTCTCTTCTCTTCTCTTCTCTTCTCTTTACTTTCTTTCTTTCTTTCTCTCTTTCTTTCTCTCTCTTTCTTTCTTTCTTTCTTTCTTTCTTTCTTTCTTTCTTTCACTATTCATCCAACCATCAGTCTATCTATATTTTTCTGATTATAAATGCAAAATATGATCATTTAAAATGCAGTAATTACTTAAATAAATAATACAGAAAATCAAAATCCCCCTAAATCTCCTATTTAAAGATAATCATTCTTAACTGTTTGATACGCTCTTCCAGACTTTTTTCTATGTGTATACTAACACATATATTTTTCTTTTATTTTTAATAAATAATACTATACTTACACTTAAGTAACTCCCCTTTCACATAATTTTAAGAGTTGAAAATTTCTCCATGACTATATATGTCTACTTTATATGCTTTAGTACTTCATTGCTCAGAAGTAGCAATTTTCCTAACTATCCACTTATGAATAGACACGTTTTTTTTCATGATTAGAAACAAAGCTGCAGTAAATATCCTTGTACTCACATCTTTGTATATATGTATATTTTTTTAGAATAAATTGATGGAAATTGAGTTTCTGGGCCAAAAGTATACACACAATTTACTGGGCGTGGTGGTGCACACCTATAATCCCAGCAATTTGGGAGGGAGGATCACAGGTTTGAAGCCAGCCTCAGAAATTTAGTGAGACTGTAAGCAACCTCATGAGAACCTGTCTCAAAATAAAATATAAAAGGACTGGAAATGTGGCTCAGTGTTTAAACACTCCTGGTTGAGTCCCTGGTACCAAAAAAATAAAAGTATATATATATACAATTAAAATTGTCATAGAAACTGGCAAATTGTCCTTCAAAAACCCTACTCAACTGGTACTCCCACCAGCATCATATAAGAATTAGTCATTTCCCCAAATGTTTGCCAATGCTGGGTATCATCAATCTTCTATGATTTTATCAATCTAGTAGGCAAAATGGTATGTTATTACTGTTTTAATTTGTGCTTAAAAAATGGTGAGGTGGCATCTTTTTTTATTGTTGGCCTTTATATTTTTGATTTTGTAAATTGCTCATTCTTCTCCCTTGGCAACTGGTTTTATATTAGTATATTGCAGAGAGGAGAGGCCCTTGTAGACCATGTGAGACTATGATACATTCTTTTCTTAAGCAACAAGTAAGCCATGAAGATTTATATTCACCATAAAACCAGTTCTTAAATGTTTTATTTGACGTCATTTGGAGGGCTGAGCAGAAAAGCAATGTTAACCAACAATAATCAAGAGTTAGATATCATGGTGTTACTGTCTTGTGGGATTAACTCTTGATTTATTAGCTACATGAAAGATGATAAGATAATACCATATACCAAGAATAGAAATAAGCATTTTCTCATCTATCATAGATAATTGAACAATAACTGGCGGGTGGATAATATGAATTCCTGCACATGGGTATGGTGTGTGTGTGTGTGTGTGCACGCGCACATGCATGTGCAGGTTGAGTGTGTGCATGAATGTGTGTGTGGGCAAGCATATACATGTGCTTGTTTGCTTTTGGAGGCTATTCAGTAAAGGAATGGAGGGAGAGAATTTTGAATGGGTGGAGAATATCTGAAGGCTCTCATTTGGAGGCATCTCCAAGAAGCAGGGCAGTTGTCACTTCCTTCCAGCCTCTATAGTGTGCTGCTATGGCTGTCACTGTTTTGAAGTAGTGGTCCCAATATTATGACTCTAATTCAGAGAGAAGTTAACAATTTTATTCTGCCACAAAGCTTTTTTTGGTTTGGCTTGGTCTGTCCTGGGCATGGAAGTAGGTTGACATTAGGCAAACCTTGGATATTTGCCCAGTGGCCTAGGGCTGTGACACTTGTAGTGGTGATAATATCACAATTTAATAGCTTCCTATGAGACAGGAGAAATACCTGATTTAAATTTTCAAGCTGCCTGCCAAAACACTGTACCAAAGGAAATGTACACTTGAGAAGGCTTTGTGTACATTATCTCAATCTTCAAATAATCCTGTCAGTAGACAGGGACCACCTGGCCTAGATTCCAATGTGAACTGTGGCCCCTTTTGTTGGGCAAACATAAAGCACTATGGTCCTAAATCTTCATTTAACTGAAACAAACATTTAGGCCCAGGGAGGTTCACTTACTTGCTCAAGTTTAAACTGATGTGTGTCAGTTGGAGCTGGGATTCCACTCCAGGCTCTCTGACTTCATAACCAATGATAACTGGGTCCATGGCTGTCTAGAGTGCCTTAAGCTCTCTCAGCGGGGAGAGGGAAGGAGGGCATCCAGATGCATTCAGGGCAATGCCATCTCTTCCATTCCTTAGTCCAAGCAGAAACCCCCAAATTTCAATATTGTCCAGATGGTCATCCTTCAAGCCTTTGCCAGTGCTTTTTCAGTGAGAAGAAGTCTCTGGAGACAGAATAAAACAGGTCTTTTGGCTCAGGAATAGGTATTGAAGAAACAAATCTCTGTGGAATCATGAATAAGGTGGTTAGGTGGGTCGAAACAATTCTCTTTTGATTTTATATATGCATGAGAATTATATGTAGAAAATCTGAAGTGTAGGCTAGCCACACATTTCTAATGGCCCCTCCAAATTGTCCAGCTGGTGTGGGCTCTGGGAACACTAATCTAACTTTTTATATTAGCCCAGGCAAAGTATAATTAGGAAGAAATGCTTCTGCCAAAAACATCACATGCCAATGTCAAAAAGAGATGATTTTTGTTATATCTACAATTTGATTATTTGTATCAGGATTGATTCATAATTATATTGTGCAATTTGAGCATACTGCCAAAGATGATAAAAAATTTAACTGAAATTTGATTTGTTTTCTCTTTCTCCCTTCTCCAAATCTGGACAGATACACTTTCACTAAAAGGAAAAAAGCTGGATTTTTATGGAAAAAGTGACACATATGTAAGCCTGGCCAAGACCATTCCTGAACTGAGCCAATTCACAACATGTATTGATATGGTAGCCAAAAATGGCAAGCCAGGTTATTGGAAGGCCTTCTCCTATATTATTAAAAACACTGTGTTGGGCAGAGAAGACTTAGACTTTGGACTTGCAGGGGACCATCGGCATCTAATACTACACAACTTGGGCAAGACCTTTTATGTCAGTTACCGACTGATTCCATTTAAATGGTATACAATATGCTTGATATGGGATGGGGTGAAGGGCAGATTAGAGATTTTCCTGAATCAAAAAAGGTTAGTGATAATAATGGATGAGCCACGCAGCCTGACACCTAATGGGACGCTGGTCTTAGGGCACTTGCCCAAGAATGAAGATGGCCAGGTGAAAAAAGTGGCACCTCACTTTACTGGCAGCTTATACTACTTTCAACTCTGGGATCGCATCTTGGAAACTGAAGAGTTTATGAAGTGTTTAGATGGAAATATCATTAGTTGGGAGGAAGATGTTTGGCTTCTCAACAAGATCATCCCAACTGTTGACAGGACACTGCGCTGCTGTGAGTAACTAATTCATTTTTCTCCTTAGCAAGGTTAGCATAAATGCCACGCCAATGAATCCGCTCTTCCATCAGTGTTCTGGCAAGAGCCTGAGATTGCCACAAGTTTTCATTTACTTTTAATATACAGCAAATATTGTTTTCATTTACCTTTTATTTTGATATAATTTCGAATTTACACAAATATTGTAAGAATAACAACATATTTCATACTCTTAGGTTCATCGATGGTTAACACTTCCTTATATACTTTATCATCCTCCATATCTTTTTATTTTTTATTTCTTTATTTCTTGGTACTAGGAATTGAACCCAGAGACACTTTACTACTCAGCTACACTAACAGTCCTTTTTCATTTTTTTAAATTTTGAAACAGGGTCTCACTAATTTTCCCAGGCTGGCCTCAATCTTCCTGACTCAACTACCTGAGTTGCTGGCATTACAGGTGTGCACCACTGTGCCTGGCCCATCCTCTGTATTTTAATCTTTCTCATTTCTCTTCTCTTCCTCTTCCCCTCCTCCTACACACATAAAACACACACACACACACACACACATCTAATTTATTTGTGAATCATTTGAGAGTAAGTTGCAGGCATGATTCCCTTTTATCACTAAATACCTCCATGCATTTTCCCTAAGAATAAGGAATTATCTTACTTAAGCACACTGTATATTCAAAATTAGAAATTTAATATTGATACAATACTTATATCTAATTCACAGTTTATATTCAAATTTAGTGAATTCTTTTAATAACTTTCTTTATAGCTGTTTTTGATTGATCTAGGATCCAATTCAGGAGCATACATTCATTGTATTTAGTTAGAATGTCTCTTTAGACTTCAATCTGGAAGAGATCCTCAGTCTTTCCTTGTTGTTATGGTTTGTATATGAACGGTCCCCCCAAAATTCTTGTGTTAATGCAGGGATGGATGAAATGATTGGATCATGAGAACTGTCACTTAATCAGTCCATTCTAATTTGAATGAAACAACTGGGTATTAACTGTAGGTAGGTGGAGAATGGCTGGAGGAGGTGGGTCACTGGGGGCATGACCTGGAAGGGTTCATTTTCTCTGTGACCCCTTCCCCCTCCTCTGTTATCTGGTTGCTATGAGGAGAGCAGCTTCCCTTCCTTCCCCATGCCCTTCTGCCATGATGTGCTCTCACGTTAGTTGGAGTGCAATGGATTTAGCCCACCTTGAAGTGAACCTCCGAGTCAGTGAGTCAAAAGAAACTTCTCCTCTTAGTTGTTCTTGTCACATGCTTTAGTCACAGCAATGAAAAGCTGACTGACACACTTACTTGTCTTTCATGACTTAGACATTTCTAGCATACGGTCCAATTATTTTGTGTAATTTCCCTTAATTTGGGTTTGTCTAATATTTCCTCGTGGTTAACTTTATGCTTTGTATTTTGGCAAGAATACCACAGAAATGATGTTGTTCTTCTCAGTGCATTACTACATCAGTAGACACATGGTGCCAATTTGTCCCATTATTTGAGATGATAACTTTGATCACTTGATTATGATCTCTGGCAAAATTTTCCATAGTAAATGTGTTTTTTTTCTTTGTAATTATTAAGCAATTTCTGGGGGAGAAGTTTGGGGGCTACATAAATACCCTATTCTTATCAAACTTTTATCCAGTAGTTTTATATCTATTGATGATTCTTGTCTGAATCACCAGTTACTTCAGTGGTGGCAAACTCCATTCTTTTTCTACACTTATTAGTGGACATTCTAAAGGAATAGTTTTCTCTTCTTCCACATTTACCTGTCCATTCATTCATTTATGTGTTTATTTATATGAGCATGAACTCATGGATTCTCATTTTATTCATTGGATTAAAATCTGTTACTATTGTTTATTTTGATACTCAAATTGGCCCAAATTTAGCAAGTGGGGGCTCTCCAATCTGGCTCTTGTGTCCCTTTGACATACCCCATCATTCTTTGAGCATTTTCTTATTTTTTGGCACAAGATACTCTAGGATAATCTTGTATTTTTTCTCTTCAGCCCAAGAATCAGATGTTTTACCAAGGAGTGCTGGTTCTTTTAGCTGGGAATGGTATTCATAAACCAATTCACTTTTCTTGTGAATGTAATGATGATATTGAAGAACTATTTGGATAGGGTTCTTGTAAAAAATCCTCTCTTCTTGGAATTATGCATGCATGTTTCTCCTCTCTGCTTTTGAGAAGGAAATACAGGATTGTTTTTCTCTGTAAAATTCCACTCTTCTCATTGCCAATCTTCTCCACCATCATCAACAACAGTCCTGAAGCATGGGTCACAGTCAGTGATAATAGCATCAAAATAGAATTTTTCTCATTTCCTGAAATGTTCACTTATTCTTGGGGTATTGTTTACTTATGAATTTGGGAGGAGAACAATTAGGGAGGGAATAGGGGCTAGATCCAAGCCTAAGAGGGCTCTCATAGACTGTTGGGATATACTTTCATCAACAGTCCATATGTTGTTTGAGTTAATGGTAGAGGCACATTGCAGGGGATTTCTATTTCTTTGAGATCAGACCGATGCAAAGAAAGAACAAAAGCTATTCCTTTGTGCTGCTAACTGAAGGCACTGTTTTTTCTCTTTTCTGAACTCTTGAAAATAAAGGAGAACAGATCTAGCTGGCTCTGATCATAAAACTGAGCTAGGAACTAGTAGGTTAACTCTGATCAGCTCATGTAAAGCAGTTTAAAATAATTTTATGTTTGATCTAAGGAAACAAAAATATGGCCCTAGCAAACTCACATGCTTTATAGTGGTATATAAAAACTGAATCTGGTCACCTAATGGCCATAGCCTTTAATATTTGTCTGGTAAATAACTAAATCTAATTAATGGGTTAAAGTGCTGTACAGCTCTTATTTATTTTGCTCTTTTGTACACTTTTTTTATTTTGCAATCCACTCTATTGGTTGGGTTGAGTCTTTATGTGCATAACACACAAATAATCCAACACAAGAAAACACTACCTAAAATGACAAGTAAGAAAAAAGGGTAGAAAATATTCTCTCTACTTTTCAGGTTTCAAGTGTTGATTCCATATCTTTAAACAAGAGTTCCTAACCTGAGGACCAGAATTGGTTGAAGGAGTTGGCAAAGCCCTTGAAATCATATGCAATATCCTAAAAATGCAAGGTGGATCTTTTTTCAGGGAGAGTCAACATTTTTTATCTCATCCTAACAATATAACTGCTGCCTTTGACTAAGTTCTTATTATGTGCCAGGCATTTTATAGGTGAAGAGAGAGGCTCAGAGAGGTTAAGTGTATTGCCTAAGGTCACCAATGAAATAAACAGTGGAGTTGGCATTTAAACAAAGATGTGTCTAGTTGCAAAGTCCATGTTCTCTTCACCCCTATATCATGTAGGACTCTCTCAAGGGATTCTATGGCCCCCCAAAAGGTGGTGAACCACTGGCTTAAAAGCTTCCATTGATAGAAATTTCTGGCACTGATAACCCACCTGGGGGGATTAAGTTATTAGCTGGAGTTATTGTTGGCCTCACCACTTAAGGAACTATAACACCACAGAATTTCTTTTACTTTTGTCTTGGCTATATCACATGTAGAGAAAGGGTGGCAATGTATGAATAAATATGAGTAATGTCTGGGTTTAACTTTGCCTAACAAATTGGTATTTATGGTCCATAGAAGGATTATGACCTTTAAAAATAAATTTTAATGAGCAGATTGCTAGGTTACAATTCTCCATAAACGTATTTACACATAAATTATATGTATTTATATATTCATGAAAACAAGGCTTTTAGGGAAAATTGCTGGAAAACATCAACCCTACCTGGGTTTATTAAATAAGTATCCACTATAGTTGGAGATGTCTGAGGAATATTTAAACATCATAGTGATAAATAATTACAGTAAAGGTGCCATTCATTAGAAATTTATGTTGGGGGATATTTGTAGCTTCTTTTCCTTATTTTAAAAAATTATAAATACAATATATATGGTTGTGAATAAAAATAGATTTAAACAATATGAAATATATGAAGTATAAAGTAAAACCTACTCTTCATCTTCTACATAGAAATGTCTATTTTTCTTATGGGTTTATAAAGTGAGTGTGTATGGGCACATGTATATGCATGAATGCATGTAGTTTAAAAACAAAGATCAAACATACATACATATTATTTAAAAACTTTATTTATTTTAATGATCTTATCATGGACATACAAGTACATTTAAATCTATTTTAGGGCTATTTATATTTCATTGTGTAGATGTAACATAATCCACTTAACCTTCCATTAATGCATATTGAAATTGTTTTAGTTTTTTTTGCAGTTACAAATAATGCTACAGTAAGTTCCTCATACATACATACATCTTGTTATACTTGGGCTTACAATTTCATAGGCCAAATTCCTAAAAGTAGAATTTCTCAGAAAAAGTACATAAGCTTTTACAATTTAAATTGACTTATAATTTTCACTAGTTATTCCACTAATTCAACTATTCATTAAAATTAGTCTCTTAAAGTAAAATTAACACATACAGTTAAAAAACTAAAATTACACAAAGATATAAATCCAAACTAAAAGTCTCTTTTCACTTTAATCTCCCACCGCAGGTATCTATCTCACCACAGAAAAAAATTAAGAATTTTTTAGGTAGCCAGGTATGACTTGGGAAGCTGAGGAAGGAGGATCACAAATTCAAGGTCAGCCTCAGTGACTTATTGAGACACTGTCTCAAAAGGAAAAAATTAAAAGTTCTGATTATGTGGCTCAGTGCATAAGTGTCCCTGGGTTCAATCCCTGGTACAAAAAAAATTTCTTAGGTATACTTGCAGAAAAAATGCAAACCTCAGGTTTACATGTACGCATTATATTTTTTCTTTTTTTTTTTTTATCACGGCTGGGATCATCATTATATGCATAGCCATTTGCATCTATTTTTTTAAAAAATAATAATATATTTTGGAGATATTTCCATGTCATATAATATAGAGCTATCTG